GCGAGGCCCGAGGCGCTGGCGGGCCGAGCGGCGGGGTCAGCACCCTGAGACTGAGGCTCTTTTTTTATTTTTTGCCTGCTGCCTTTTGAGCGAGGTTCTTCGGCTGGGTCTTGGAGTGACGGGGAAATAAATACGAATGCTTTAACTCATATATCGCAAAATATTTCAAGTCCCAGTGGCTGTGGCCTTAACGTCCTTCCTGTGTGAGAAACAGCTTTACAAATCCATGCAGTTTCACAGCTGAGGTGAAGGACAGAAATTCTCTGACTTCCCTCTGAGCATCGGGGAAGCTTGCAATGGAGATTTCCTACTTTTGTGCCTTACCTACAAGTATATAAAGGTGTACTTTTCCCCTTAAAAATAAGAAACTATTATCCTAAGTTTGAATTTTGAGGGAGACAAAAAATTAAAACAGTGACATTTTATAATTGATGGATTTGCAGACCTTTTTGTAAGGAGGGAAGTTCAAGGTAGGGGATGCTGTCAAGAGCAGTGAAAATGCTCAGGTTTGGTACGCTCATGATTTTTTTAACTGGTAGAGCTGCTTTGGTGAGACAGTGACTCGTTTGATTAGTTCTGAAAGGATTAATATTTTGGTATAGTTATTTCTGTGTTTCTAGGAGAATACCTTTAGTCTTATAGAGTGACTGTGTAGTCATAGCTGCTGCCATTTAAGGAGCTTGTATTTGTAGCATATAGTGAATTTTCTTTCAGATGGATGTCCATGGCAGGATAAGAGAAGTTCTTGCTGAGACTATACGTGAAGAGTTAGCGCCTGAGCATCAGCAGTTATCCACAGAAGATCTGATAAAAGCCTTAAGACAACGAGGAATCATTGATGATGTTATGAAGGAACTTAAATTTGTAACTGTAAGTAGCTTTTGAAGAGTGAAAATACTTTTGCTTATTCCTCTTACTGACTTGGTGTTTTGACAAAGTGAAAACTCGCTACTTCTAAAGGTTTGTAATGGCTTTACTGATTTGTGACATATTAGGAGCAGAATAGCTTAATGTATATGCTAAAATTGGTTTAATGATAATACTACATTGAAAGTATTTGTTCAGTTTTGTTACATCTCAAGTACTAGAAGGGAGCGTACCTGAGGAATGGCATTCAGCTGAAATGGAGGATTCTTTAATTTTTAGAAGACTGCAGTAAGAGCGCTGTTGCATCCCTTGACACCTTAAAAAGTCTTAATTGTAATTCCAGGATGTGAATGAAAAGGAGAGGCCTTCAGCTCCAAAACCATCAACACATTTTGTTGACAGAGAACCACCAGTTTTGCAAAAAAGTATGTTGCTTGTTTATTTTAATATTTGGATCATAGTTTTGAGAGAAATTTTAAGTCTATGATTTTTGAACTCTGAATTAGTAATCCAGTATGAACTGGCATAAAGGTGGATGTTGCTGCTGCTTATCTACAGGAAGTAAATTCATGTAAGCAGCAGAAATTAGTGTCGCATAAAATGTGACTTTTTCTTAAATTTCATTTATTTTACATTAAGATAACTTCCGTACATTTTAAAATCACTTTCTCCTAAGAACTTGTTTCAAAAAATTTCTTTTTTTCTAGTCTCCTGTTAGTTAACTGATACTTAACATGCTTCCTAAGATCTGTTTGTAGTCTCTTCATTTTTATTGCTACGCTTTACAGCTAACATTGACCCAACACGGAGGTATCTTTACCTTCAGGTTTTGGGTGGGAAAGCTTTTCTGGAACATCTTCAGGAACCGGAGCCTCTGCCTGGCCAAATCTGTTCTACCTTCACTCTGTGTTTACATTTTCGAAATCAGCGCTTCCGTTCTAAACCCGTCCCCTGTGCCTGTGAGCCAGATTTTCATGATGGTTTTTTACTTGAAGTACACAAGGATAGCCTAGGTAAGGAATATTGTGGGTTTAAAGCCGATGCTATCGGGTTTTTTTCTGACTTCGGAGTTATTGTGAAATATGTTTGATATTATTTAGTGGCTTTCTTACCTATTTTTTATCGTGTTTTCCTAAAGAAACAAATTACTGTATTAGGTTATGCCACTTGTAGATCTTTCTCTACTCTTGCCTCTTCTTTTCCTTCCTTTCCACTCTAAAATAACTTTGGAATTTGACCAACTTTCTCCCTAATTGGTAGTGAGATGGTAGTCTCAGAGGTGGTAAGAGGTACTAAGGTGGTTGTGATTTTCATGAACTTTGTGCTGACAAGTGAAGAAGGGAAATGTAAATTTGTTGTCATATGGCAGGAAAAACTTCAGTGTGAGTTCAGTTTGCCTGCCAGCTGGCAAACACTTGTAGAAGAGTCAGTCATCCACAGCCTGTATTACTGTTCTGTTGGTAGCCAGGGAACATGGTAGGAGCTAAGTATGTTATGACAAGGCTTTCTGGATACTGTATGAATCCTGTAGAAATCCAGCTTATGGAATATCAGGGAACAGAGAGGAAGCCAGAGTTATTGCAGTTGGACTTGGGGAAGGGAGCGAATATACCACAAATTCAAAGAAAACCAGACTTTGTTAATTCTGCTGCTCATGGAGCGGTTTATATTACAGAGTCAAGCTTAACTACAGGGAAAGTTGTTTCCTAAGTACTGATGTATACTAAGTTGACCTGATGCATTCCAACTTATTAAAAGAATATTTTTCAATTGCTTTTACTTAATGGTGCTTTAATATTCTTTATTTTCTTAAATGCTAATTCCATTTTAATTTTTGTGCAGTTGAACCAATTGCATTGGAGTACTCGACTATAGGAATCTTTTTATCTCCTCTGTAAATTAACTGTAATCTTTCTGTAGCTCTGTCCTAAACTGAGTTTGATTTTAAGATGGGATCATTGCTTACACTTCTGGACATGAGATTTTTCTTAAAATGCAATGTATGCAATGAATATAGATGCATACTTTTTTTAATTTTGAGGAGGACTTGGGATGATAATATTCTTGCTATCTTATCTTGGTTTAATAATGGCAGGTGATGGAAGTAAAATGGTGGATGCAACCACTATGTTATCTATATGTGATCCAGTGCATATGGTTCTGATCAAAACAGACACATTTGGTGAGACAACACTAGTAGCATCCTATTTCTTGGAGTGGCGATCTGTCTTGGCTGCAGAGAATGGCATAACAAATGTTGCTGTTGAACTCCTGGGTGTAGGTAAGGATAAATAATAAGGCTGTAATGATGACTTAAAATATTGGGTACTGAGCTTGCTTATGAGCTTAAAGCAGTATTTATGATGTAGTTTAATTTTAGTTCAACTCATAAATTACTATAAGGTATCCTTAGAAAATGTGTAGGAGACTAGTGGTCAGGTTTTTGTGTTACCAAAATACTAAAAATGTGTATTCCGGATCCTGTGTAATAATGGTCCCCATGTCTGGGAACTCTCACAACTTATCCAGATTTTGCAGAAAATCAGTAATCAAAACGAAACCAAAAAAAATCAACTAATTTATCTCCAGGAATATATCAGACCAGTGCACTGAAGAGTAAAACCTAGCTTGTGTCCCTTTCATAGCAAACTAGCAACTGCTGGAGAAAGTGATCTCTATCTACTGTGCTGCCATTTATTCCAGTAGCTGGAAGCATGCTTTCTGGCAGAAGGGCTGAATGGCTTTGTTTAGGTGCTTAGCAGTTAGTATACCTCTGTATTTTTGTGTATCGCTTGTCCCCGCTCCCCTTTTCAGGAGTTCCAACCTAAGTTTTTAGGATATTATGATTTAGTGGATAAAGATTAGATCTAGGACTCAATCTGTCATGACTTCCTATGCTAGCTATCCCAGAGCTTGGTCAAGTAGTAACTTATGAGTCGTTCGAGTAATCTGTTGCAGTTTCTCTACCTGTTAGGTAGGTGAGCAGTTCTTGATAGTTTCAAAAGACATTAAATTATACCTTCAAAATATTCTGAAGATTGGATGTACTACATAAGTTATTCCTGATTGACAAACCTAGTAAGCTTATTTGCTAATATGTTTGTTAGCTTCATTTCCTTCTGAAAATGCTGACTATTGCCAAAACTTTAGTAAGCAATATAGGTTTGGATAGTCTCTCAAATGGAGGGCTTTTTATTTATAATTACTTGGAAATGCATAACAAATAAGTTGAGTTTAATACTCAAATGGGTGATGGGAGGAGTTAAATCTAATTATCATTAGCTTTTTTCCAAGTAATAAAGTATC